AGAGAGAGAGAGAGATCGATCTACGATATTCTTACGACGAATATTCCCCGCTGCGACGAGGGAGAGAAGAAAGAGAGAGAAAAGAAAAAAGGGTAAAACAGACCGGCTTTTAGAGAAACTGCTCCGACTTTTGAAACGCCTTCGACGCACTCGTGATAGACGCGCCATCAGCCTCGAGTGGCTGGCTCGACCCGTGCTTTCCCGCGTTTCTCCACGATTTATCCCGATCGCGAGAGAAGGAATTAATAAAATTCTTTCCAACGAGTTGGAAAATGAATGAAGAAAGAAACGATGGGATAGTTTTAAATAAATTCGCTCAACTTCTATATATATATATATATATATCACTAAACCTACCACGGAGCGGTCAAATGATCGTTTTTGAAATTTCGTTTAAAATTTCTTGTATACAAAGTTACTGTATCGTCATACGACTTATTGACTTTTTCTATAATGTAGATACAACCCATTTTTCAATATTCACAACTTTCTGTATTGTTTATTTTACGAATCCAATTAGCTAAAATCTCTTTCTATATTAAGATACAAATGTTTTTTTGCAGCGATCATTTGACCGCTCATGGTAGGAATACATAAAATGTCGGTAGGTTTAGTGATATACACATCGAGATCGGTAAGGTCGATGCGCGTGAACCACGACGCGCAGATCTCGTTCGAATTCAATTCGTCCGAGATTCCATCCTGTCCTATCTGGAACGATGCATCTCGCCGTGCACAAATCATTTTTACTCGTTCTCTCCGCGAGAAAGGGAGGAGGAGGAGGAGGAGGAGGAAAACTGGTCGGTGGCGTCTAATCCACCTCGGCCAACGGATGGAAACGCGATTCAACGGCGGCGCGAAACACGCCGCGAACGAGCAGCCTGTTGCTCTCGATCGAGATCAAGAGGATTACCGCGAGCCTCTTTGCAACGAGGCGAGGAATCTGAACGGCCATGTCGAGCCGCGGAAACGCAACGACGTGGTAAATCACCCGGGCGAATATTTGCAAAGAGGAGATAAACGGTCGGATAAGAAGTTGTAACGACACACTGATACCTTATTATCGCGAGCTTCGGTCACGATACGAATGATCCCCGCCGCGCTAAGATAAAATTCAACGTGATTCTGAGGAGAGGGAGGGGAAGGAGGGAAAATCTAGAGGGAGGATCGAATCGAGGTTGCCACCTAGTATCTGAGAGACGACCACCCAGGATTTCGTTTCGAGGAAGTTTGTCTGAAAGGCAAGATTTAAGGTTTTCGGCCGATTCTCTGGAACTGATCGTTTACCGATCGCCCGGAGGAAGCGTCTCGCGTGTCTCGCCGTTCGGAAAGAGATATTGAGATATTTGGCTAATCGTACGATAGTTCGAAACGAACCGATTCTGATTATAAAACACCGAGTTTGAACGTGAAAAGATATTAAAGAACGGTGAAATTAAATTAAATTCGATAACTTTACCTGATGTAAATGTTGGAAATGTAAGCGACGTTAATTCTCGATTGATCGAGAAGAGGGAGGAGAAGATTTACAAACGTTCGTCGATTCTTCTTGGAAAGATTCCTCTTCTCGTACGCACGCACGCACGCACGGAAGAATGTTTTCGAGATTAATTTCGAGGGCAATTCTCAAGAAACGACGGCATCAATTTCTATCGGGTTGATGGCACAATAGAAGGGCATCATAGATCGCTCTAATCATTGCGGTAAACATCGAAGAGAGATCTCTAACGACGAGCACTTAACACGTGCGCACGAGCCGCAGCTGCAACTTGCACACACTGGATTCAATGGATATACGAAGCGATGTCGCCTTTGGCCGTTCACGATTCGCGCGGATTTATTGCGCCAAATGATACGTCCACGCAACGATTACGTTTCTGCCTCGTGTGTTATTGCTATTCTCGCCATCTCTCCACCCCTCGCATCCGTGGCTCGCATCGCTGGAGAAAACAGGGCCGATCCAGGGAGCAATCCAAGGACGGGTTGTTCTCGGATCGATCGGCCGCAAACTTTATTGTATCTCGATCCTTATCTGAACGCGGCCGATCCTCGTGCATCAATTGTTTTTTGGCTCGATGTACGCGTACGCTTTTAGCCACAGGTCGATGTAAACACGATTCGTGCCGGTTGAGAAGTTACGGCCGTACGTTGATGGAATTATGACCGGTGTATGCATGGTATATCGTATCGCGTCACGTGATGCGAGCGCAATTTTCACGAGATAAGTAACACCTCTGCTCGACTCGGCCTTTATCTCTTCCTGTCTCTCCTTCTTTAATTTCTTCCTTTTCTTCCAATTTTTCCAATTCCGCGGAACAAATTTTGGATTCTACGTCGATTCAGAATAAAAATCGTTCGCTCTCCAAGCGCTCGACCGTAACATCCTCGAGGAAGGAATATATATATATATATAGAGAGAGAAAGAGAGGAGAGGAAATCATCGTGATGCGATTCGCGAATCGAGTCGTTAAATCGGGTTAATAGAGGAAGCGATAAAACCGTATCTTCTCCCTTCGAGCGGGTTTCTCGAAGAGTTCCTCGAAGAGAAGCGTCGGAAGGAACGGCCGTCGTAAACAATCGGTCTTGAACATCGTGCACTCGTTGTGCATCTCGCTAAGTAAACGATGGAATTAACGATGACCGACAACGGACGACGCAGCAGCCGCAAGAGGTTCGCCTAAGAGACGCGATCTAATTTCATATCGCGCTCTTTAATGCCGCGCACATTTCGCTCGCACGCTCATCCTTGATCAAGAAACGCGCGCTGTTTCCTATTGCGTTCTCGTTGCTCGAGGGGGAATGTATCGTGGGTGATTTTTCGGTGAAAAGAAGAGAAAAAAAAAAGAAAAAAGAAAGAGAAGGAAAAAACAATAACGAGTTTATTTTCAAGGGAGCGAGTTTGACGAGAGGAAGGAAATTCGATGGAAAATTTATTATTACTCTTTTGAAAATAACTCGTGAAGTCGTTTGTGAAAGCCTTGGAATTTACGATCGGGTATCAATATTTCATTAATAGATAATCTCGCGGAATGGATCTTTTAAACAAGTTACGTAACAACAGCGAAGCGATTTTCTGCGAAAAGAAATCGAGACACCGACTGTTCCAGGAACAATGTTTTTCCCGGGAAAATCGAACGATCGAAGCGAGGATTTATATTACGCGCGTGTGTTTCCCTCTTTTCGAATTATCAATTTTCTCGGCAAAAAACAAAAAACAATAAAGAAAAAAACGAAATCTCAAACGATAAAATTATTCCTTTCAAATTTATTCCCCGCTCGATAGAATCCCGATTGAACCAAGAATCAAATTACTACGGAAAAATTATTTATCCTTCGATCGATTTCCATTTTCCAATCCCCCGTTCGAGCTTATCCGCGACACACCGTGCAATCCCCTAACGCGCGAAAATTTCAGTTTCCAGTTTCATTTCACGCCGTTTCAACGACCGTATCCAACACCGCGTATATATATATTTTTATATACGTTCGAGAAAAAAAACGTAAAGACGAGAGAGAGCGGGATTCCTTCCTTTCTTAGAGGATAGAAACGAAAAAATAATATATGTATGTACACACACACACACACACATATATCGAGAAGCATCGACACATCGTAGGAGATTTCATCTAGGAATTTCGTCGTTTCGTCTCGATGTTACCATTCCTATGTGTTCGCGATCAACCTCCGCGAATACGTACCCGTATTCGAGCCCGTACGTATTAATAAGCGGTGTG